CTGTATAATTACTGTATAATTACTGTATAGCATAGCATGAATACTACGGTAACTTAGCATCCCAAATTCGAATGAAAAAGAAACTTTGAACCTTTTAAATGGGTCGGTTAACTTGTGTCTACATTATGATACTGTATTCTGGAAAGAGCTTATAAGTTATATTTATAACCACTATCTTATAATAGTGTCTTAATATAATCTTACAACCACTAAAAATACTCTAGCACAATTACAATTGTAACTGCATATTTACAGAACTCTAACTGCTTAATGAACACACTTGCAGGTACCACCCGTATTCACACTCAGACTTCAGTTTAGTCATTTTCCGATACGAGATTGGGGACGGGTTCTATAAACAAACAAACAAACAACATAAACTCTATCTTGATCTAACAACTATAGCTGCCCTTTTTAAAACTAAATATGAAACACCGAAATTTTAGTTTTTGCAATTCTAAAAGTCTTTAAAAAATATTAATGAAACTTCATATTCACTTTAAAAGACATATCTAAATATTCGTATCCAATAAAAGGGAAATTGTTTCGGTACGATACGGATAAAAGAATAATCGTTTGGAAGTTTCAATGTAAATTGTTTAAAAACGAACCTTAGTCTTTGAATTACATGCTTTATTAGCTGTTGAAGTTTGAACAATGCTAATTTTAACAATGTTAACACAAAGGTAATGTGCATTATTAGATAAATGATCTGGTTATGGTCGGACAATTGGCGCTCAAATGGTAAATTGCTCTTTCAATCCTCGCTTTTAAAGCTATAGTGTTTAACTGGAGGTACAACGAGGTTATACAGACAACTATAACTAGGTAGTCTGATTTCAGGACAAAGTTATGTTATCTATATACACACATATTATGCATGTGGTCCACACGGAGGCAGGGAAACAAACAGCATAATAATTACGCTGATAATTACTTTTCAAATGTCCGGCGTCCTGTCCGGCCCCCTGTCCAGCCCCTTGTCCGGCCTCCTGTCCGGCTATATGTCCTTCCTCCTGTCCAGCCCCCTGTCCTGCCCCTTGTCCGGCCCCCTGTCCGGCCTCTTGTCCAGCCTCCTGTCCGGCCTCCTGTCCGGCCCCCTGTCCGGCCTCCTGTCCTGCCCCTTGTCCGGCCCCCTGTCCGGCCTCTTGTCCAGCCTCCTGTCCGGCCTCCTGTCCGGCCCCCTGTCCGGCTACCTGTCCGGCCTCTTGTCCAGCCTCCTGTCCGGCCTCCTGTCCGGCCTCCTGTCCGGCCCCCTGTCCGGCCTCTTGTCCGGCCCCCTGTCCTGCCCCTTGTCCGGCCCCCTGTCCGGCCTCTTGTCCAGCCTCCTGTCCGGCCTCCTGTCCGGCCCCCTGTCCGGCCCCCTGTCCGGCCTCTTGTCCAGCCTCCTGTCCAGCCTCCTGTCCGGCCTCCTGTCCGGCCCCCTGTCCGGCCCCCTGTCCGGCCTCTTGTCCAGCCTCCTGTCCGGCCTCCTGTCCGGCCTCCTGTCCGGCCCCCTGTCCGGCCTCTTGTCCAGCCTCCTGTCCGGCCTCCTGTCCGGCCCCCTGTCCGGCCTCTTGTCCGGCCCCCTGTCCTGCCCCTTGTCCGGCCCCCTGTCCGGCCTCTTGTCCAGCCCCCTGTCCGGCCTCTTGTCCGGCCTCCTGTCCGGCTACTTGTCCGGCCCCTTGTCCGGCCCCCTGTCCGGCCTCTTGTCCAGCCTCCTGGAAATTCATCCCCGTGGGGCACATGCATAAATATAAAATGTAAAGGAAATCTCAAACTATTTAATTTAGACTCTACTGGTAAAGTATGCAATGAAGGTTTATTAGTATAATATTTATTCGGTATCCTCAAATGAAATAACAGACTTGTCTACTAAACGTAAATACTGGACGCAACTGAGCAGTTACAAGAGTTAAATACTGAATATAATGCACGATGGACCCTGTTTCAGGTCCATAGTGCACAGGACATATTGATTAAACAATACTGATTATGTGACTAGTCCGACTAGAATCAAGGTCTTGTGAACACACAGCAGAATTAACATCGCAGATAATTCGATACTGTAGTTGAGCTATTAGTTCTGCGTAATTGATGCTTCTGGCCGGGGACTAATTGATAATTAGACTAATTAGTCTAATTAGTGCAATTGATAATTAGACCTGATATATTCCAACTTGTTTAGCTGGAAACTTGTTTTATATTAGCGACAAGAGAAACACATACTTACATATTATTATGTTATGTGCGAAAGTTGTCAACAGTAGTGTGTGATATACTGTAATTGCGTGGAGCCTGTACTGAGCGAATTTATTTATAATAGTATTTATATATATATTATATATAATATAATGAAAATATTTGGTAACCAAGGTTACAACGTACCATTATCAGCTATATTAACTAGTCGCCAATACTAGCGCAACTTACACTACTTACCTATTGTAGCACACAAGTGAAAGGTAAGGTTGTTGACAGGAAGCACTCTTTGTCAACTAATCTGCTTAGCAGGGAGGGGTACTGGAGTATTAGGAGTACTGGAGACTACAGACTTATTAAAAACAAAGCATTCTCAGAGTTATTGGTTTGAATAGTCGCCAATAAACAAGTAATCTAGTGGAGACTAAACATCTCAGAATCTTTAGCCAGGCTTTAAAAATAAAAAAAGGCTTTTAGCCTGAAGATGGCGTTGACGCCAAAAGTTTGCCTACATTCCTAACTTTCTGTTTCATTTGTCCTTGTCTCTTCCAACCGGATATTATCCAACTATCAGTATTTCAATCATGAGACTAATAAACAGCAAACTAATCCATCATTTGATATTCCTTAACCTCGACAAGGAGACTATAAGGCAAATAATAATAATGATAATAACATAAATAAGACAATAGGCAAGTAATCAACTGGAGACTATAAGCTAATTAAAACAAACAGTTCTCATGAATAGTAAGTCGTTAGTTTAATAAACATTTCAGAATCTTTGTTTGGACCTTTTCAGCTCCTTAGCACGTGTTCTAGCGATATTGTGTTATCAATTAGTCATTGTTAACTTAAAAGAAATTTCACATGTGGCTAATTAAACTATAACTATTAAATACAATAATTATACTATTATAGAAATGTCCCTCTACTCCGGTCAGAAGCAAAGAGAGATTTACAGGCACAATGTGCTTTACATTATCAAGAGATAGATACACAAGTATTGTTACCCAAGGTTTTGTAAAATACAAGGATACACAGACAGGAACAAACGAAGTTATGGTAATGAAACTGGAAGTTACTTTCATTATTATAGTAGTCATAGGAACATTAAAAGTTACACAAACAGCTGAGAACTTAAGGGACAGCTATCTTCCCTTTATGTAAAGAACAGAAGCCCCTGGTGTCAGGGATAGTTAATAGTACTATGTTAACAGTATCCATTGAAGGGGTATCCTACGAAGTTTCTTGAACTTTTAACAGGTACCCCTTTTAACAGGTACCCCCACTTTTAACAGGTACCCCCATCAGCTGAAAACTGATGGGACAGCTAGCTTCCCTTTATGTAAAGAATTAATGCCCCTGGTGACAGGGATCAAGCTGATTGTACTTTTTGCCAAAATGGTTTAAAACCACTGTTGTAGACATTTCTACCGTTTCATTAATGAACAGCTGGAAAATTCAGCTATCAGCAATATAATTAAAGTTATACTTATGTAACTTACATATGATTCCGCCGGGCAATCTAATTTATTCCGACAAAAATGTGCAGTAGTAACTGATAGTAATTAGACTTAGAAAAACGACACTGGCAAGTGCGAAGATTGTCCTACTAATATAGGGTTTGTTTAGTTATGAAGATTGAAGGCTTGAAAAATATCCAAGCTAAGATGATCGAAATTTCTCAGTAAAAGAGCTGAGAATATAATCTACTATAGCATGCAACATAATATTATATATTTTATAACATACTAAAAAGCCCGAGGTCACAGGGAGGAAATTAATAATATTTTTTATTAGTCAGTTTTTATAACATTAACAAATATCCGTCCAGACTAAACACGACGTTATCACAAAAACAATAAAAATGCCATTCAAAAATGTTTTCACGTGCACGTGCGCGTTTCAATCTCGTCACTATGCAACCTTCTAATTTCGACCCAGTTAACACGTGGGCGGCCAGATATAACTAGAAAGTCCGTTTTCACAGAGAGGACACTGATTGTACTTTTTGATACTCTATTTTTTATCGCAAGAAGAAGTATCCATCCTTACCGAATATACAGCCAGTTATTTTGTAATCACAACAAATCAGATCAAAGTGTCGTTCGAATAATCATTGCACGTGGACGTTCCACCCTCATAACCATGCAACTTACTAGTTCTCAACAAATTTGCACATGGGCGGTCAGACAAAGACAAAGACAAAGACAAAAACTATTATCAAGAGGTTAGCCTCTTGCGAACCTTCCTAATGATCGGGGTCTATACTAATATTTCTCCAGTGCTAATGATAATGGGTTAAAATATCTTATGTGATAATCAGAAAGCCCGTGGTCAAAGCTAGTAGTATTCTGTGATTGTCAGTTTTTATCGGATCAAAAATATCCATCACAACCAAAGATACAGTCGATTTTAAACACAACAAAATCACCATAAAACCGATCGTAATGTCGTTCCAATAATCATTGCACGTGCACGTGCGCGTTTCAACCCTCGTAACTATGCAACTTATTTATTTCTAGTCCAATTTGCACGTGGACCCACACAACCATCCTGGATGATATTATACTGTATATTGTACAACTGCTATGACTATCTACACACTATTCCATTTTACAGGTCCCTACCCTAGCAATTATCATACTGTTCCATTGTGAGCGAGCAGGTAGAGCGACTCTCTGTGCGACTAGGTTCTTTATAATAAACTAATAAAGTTACCAGCCTGAGATCAAAGAGATTTTTAATTAAAATTATCTTTCCACTACGCATTTTAAACTACTAGTACTACTACCACCACTACTACTACTACTACGAACCTGAGTTGAGAGTAAACAGCGACGCCCTCAGGGTTAATGACTACAGAGGGGGCAGCAGTGCTCGTCACTCTGAAGGTGACCTGGAAGTTCTTCAGTACCTCGTGATCCTTAGTCGGTATCCGCATCGTCCCTGGGACACGTGCAATATTAATGTGTGACTGTTAGGGAACACGTGCAATATTAATGTGCGACTGTTAGGGGACACGTGCAATATTAATGTGCGACTGTTAGGGGACACGTGCAATATTAATGTACGACTGCGAGGAGACACGTGCAATATTAATGTACGACTGCGAGGATACACGTGCAATATTAATGTGCGACTGTTAGGGGACACGTGCAATATTAATGTGCGACTGTTAGGAGGCACGTGCAATATTAATGTACGACTGCGAGGAGACACGTGCAATATTAATGTGCGACTGTTATGACAAGCCTTATTATCTGGTTTAGGTTGTGCGGTGTATTGACATCATGTCCCAGTGACTCACCAACGTTCTTGCCACTCCACTCTACTTGGTATTCCTCAGTAGTACCGGTTCCTTGTGTAGCTGTGTAGTCTATCATTCTCAGCTGATGGAGGTCCTCCGCAAACCGGGATATTACTGACTCTGTTACTATCACTGCCACACCCCTCCCTGCTCCTGAGTCGGGGGAATAAACTAATTAATCAACCTATTTCAACTCCACCTTAACGCTTAAATTTGTCTTATCAGTCCTTCCTTTCCCCTTCTACAGAAGTAACTAATATCTGTATTGTGGTATGTAGCACACTACTAACCTGGTAATACACTGCACCAGTCCTCAGTGTCTCTCCTCCTCCTCCTCTCCACTATAGTATCCCTCCTCCTCCTCCTCTCCACCATACCGCTAGTAGAGGGAGGGGAGGGCAGTGTCTCCAGGTACACAAGACTGGACGAAGAAGTGAAACCTGTCGTGAACTCTGTCGTTCCTGTCGTCTCAAACTCATTCTTATCCTCATCCTCCTCCTGCAGCGGTTTGTATAGACAATAAATGTTGTTATATTGTAAGACAACAGAAAATCGGCATAATGATTGTGGCCGCTTTTATTTTGTGAGCGGTCGCTTAATTTCGAGATCAATCGAGTCTCATAGAAGTTCTAATTACCGGTTTATCGTACTAACGAGGATTTTGAGGGCTTATTAGATTCAGGAAAATCAATCAATCAATCAATCGAAAGAGTGAACTATCATTGCGAAGTTTTTACGGTTACAGGACTGCGAAAAATCTCAAGAATTTGTAAGATGGAGTGAAATATATCGGTTTCTAGATTACCTTAGGAGGTTTAGTAGGCGGGAAGAAAGGTGCTGTTTCTAGAATACCTTAAGAGGTTTAGTAGGCGGGAAGAAAGGTGCTGTTTCTAGAATACCTTAAGAGGTTTAGTAGGCGGGAAGAAAGGTGCTGTTTCTAGAGAACCTTAAGAGGTTTAGTAGGCGGGAAGAAAGGTGCTGTTTCTAGAATACCTTAAGAGGTTTAGTAGGCGGGAAGAAAGGTGCTGTTTCTAGAATACCTTAGGAGGTTTAGTAGGCGGGAAAAAAGGTGCTGTTTCAGTTTCATTCCTGTCCTCCATCTCCAGATCTGTCTCCCCGAGTCCAGTAACAATAAGACACGAGTCTCCGCCTGTCACTCTGGTCGGCCTGTTGTTTATCTCTACTCTGTGTCCTGAGATGCTTGCAACTATCACCTAGCAACTATCACCTAGCAACTATCACCTAGCACTTAGATAGTGTTACCAAACTGTCACCTTACTTTACTGACTATTATTACCCGGTTGTTTTAGTTTGTGAACTGGTATTGCAACACCTGAACGTTAAATGATCTATACATATTGTTATTTATTATCATAAATAGTATCTTACCTAGAATGTGAACAAAGTCGTATCTATCAAATACGGCATTCTCCAGTTCACTGGCTCCTTCCTTCACCTTTTCGTTTATCTCTATGCAGATGTAGTGTTCGAGCACGTCTCTTATCTCTCCCTCGAAGAAACTGTCAGAGTGATGACATTACCATTACAATCTTACCTTATATGGTAGTGTTACCATGACAAATTTATTTCAATCAATCAATCAATCTTACCTTATGTGGATTGTGGTAGTGTTACCATGACAACACTACCTTACATGGTAGTGTTACCATTATAATAATGAATAAGTAAAGTGTTCAGTTTTGAAAAAATAATAAGTTTTAACAATACCCTACTATACCCGATAAAGAGGTTGATGAGCCAGCTGAGTTTGCTGCCAGTAAAGTTCAGGTCCAGTCCTCCCAGATCCACACTGCAGGCACCTGGGTCGTGTGTGAACCCTACCACTCCCTCCTCGTTCTCTCCTGGGAATTTACGAGGTTACCAGGGTTACCATGGTTACTATGGATACCAAGGCTATCAGGGTCACCAGGATAATCATTATGATCAGTGTTACCATGAAAACCATGGTTTTATAACTTACCACAAGTCAAACTGTTCAGTTGGATTAGTTCGCATAATCTAACTAACCTCACCGCGGTATCTCACCTAGTATAACTCTGGCAGTAATGTCGTATCCACTCGAACTCACAGTCACGCCGCCGTCAAACAGAAAGTCGTAAATCCAGGTTTTCTTAGTGGCCCTCCACCGAGCTGCTGCGCTTAGGTCACCTCGTATTGTACCGTCCAGCTAGAGGCAGTGGTAGATATTTACAGCTGTTACGATGGTTACACAGTACTGTCTACCCAGCTGTTACCATTTTACATCTAGTTCTTCTTAAGCCAAATTGTTTGAATATTTATTCCATTCACACCCTTTTATTTTTTTTATTTTGTAAAAAGGCAATAGTGAAAGGTTGCGAATGGTCGTTTTTGCAGAAAAAGAGGGATTTTGCCAAAATCATTTTGGAGAACGAGGTGGGTGGGTTTAAATATGTCGTATTCCTCCCGTCCGTTACCATGACAACTAGCCGCGCGCGCAGCGCGCAGGGTTGCTTGCCGAGATGTGATTCGATGTATAGCTAGCTTGTGGTCAATGAATGCGCGGCACGAATGTATTATAATGTATTTTAATGTAATGTATAGTATTAGGTAATAAGCCCAATTTGTACGTGGCACGCGTAGTGTACTGATGTGTATAAAACATGAGTATAGTTTACTTTTGCTTACAATTTCTTAATTTACAGATACAAGTTAAGTTCTACGGCAATTGAATTGAATTTCAAGTGTTTCCCGTATTTAAAAGTTTAAAGCATGATTTATCAATATTATTATTATGAAGTGAGCTGATTAGAGCTTATACTCATAGTTATAGTGAATGGAAATCTAGCGTCCGCCAAAACGAAACAACGGGCGCAATTTTTTTTCAATTTTTCCATATAAAAGATAGTCAAAGTGAGATGTATAACAATATTGGCCCCCTGCCCCTGCCCCGCCCCCCCCCCCCCCCCCCCCCTTAACTGACCAGTATTTTGTCACGTGTCGGATCTTTAGTGAGATCCACAGTAGGAGACATGGTCAGGCTAGTGAACCGGAGGTGCCAGTACTCGAACTTTACTCCGCTCTCTCTTATTTCTCCTGACATCATTAGGTCCTGAAATAATGTTATCCAGTATTTACTACGTGTCCAAAACATTTACCTCTCCACCAGAATCCATGTATATTATATCATCAATAACTTTGAAAACATGTTGTTAAGTTCAATACCTTGATATCCCCGACTGCTTTGTCAGTGATGGCACGTGCTATGTCCCTGGATTAAACGAATAAGTGACTAGTATGATTCATCACAAAATAGTAGAATTTATCTTATGTCTCGCCACAAATGCCAATTTGTGTGACCCATCATTTCACAGATCTAACGGAGCCTATATAATCCGCTCAACCGTATGATAGTGCCATAGTGACCTTATACGGTAATGTTGTCATAACGACATTACCTTCTATAGTAGTGTTACCATGACAACATAATAAGGTTCCTTTACCTGATAAGTTCCTCTGATACTTTCACAACGACTCCTTTGTCTAGTGGAGGTGTAAGGGTGCTCTGAGAAAGGGAGAGCAGGACTGTTAGCAGTACCAGTGTTACCGGAGTGACCAGCGTTACCGGGGTAACCAGCGTTACCGGGGTAACCGGGGTTAGTCTCATTGTTCTGTAGGGAGGACTTAGTGTTATCTAACAAGGGAACAAGGAAAACATTGCCACTATCTGGGTGTGACAAGGGAAACTGTGGTTACACTAAATATTGTGATATTTTACTGCACTGGAGCTCCCAGGTTAAGATGCTCTAAAGAAATTCAGACTTAAACTAAATGGTGATACTGATAGAGACTAGGGAGTTTTGTACATCGTTAGTGCTGTTTAAAATTCAAATTTTAGCCAATAGGAATTGCCGTCGTATGGTTGGAGATTTATAAGAAAATTTGCATTTAAAAAAGCAAAGCAGTTCGTCCAGGAAAACATACAGAAACAATTAACAAGTGATAATTTGGATGCTATCAGTATTAATGAACACAACGAATGTGTAATTCGAATGTGTTACGAACGAATCTGTAATTGGAATGTGCAATTCGTACAAACTGGGTGGTTGTGCCAAGTGGACTGATAATTGTCGCGACGCTAGCAACGATCCCCTTTTATGTGAGGGCAGTGTATGTGGGTTGTGGGGATCACACCAGTCACCAGATCCAGTAACCATCCTCTGATTTAACACCTGATAACGGTTTATAATTTCCTGAAGATTAATCAGATTACCCATCTGGAATCAAGTCATGTTTTAGAGGAGGAAATCGGGGCATGAAGTGAGGAGGAACATCTTCATATGATGGGCTTGAGAATTCTGGATGAGTTTGTTACTTTATTTGGATATATCAAGAAATAAACAACGACGTGAACTATTCTTTCGTACTCACTGATCAAATAAAAACACACCTAAAAGATGTATTATATGTATACGGTTAAATTCAATTATCGCACCCAATTACAGTTTATGAACTGGCTGCTGATTAGTTACTGAAGTAAGGAGGTCTCTGCTGCCAAAAAACAAGGAGGGGACGTTTTCCAGCACTCTGGACTGGACGTTATCTTAGATCACCAACCACTGACCAGTGAATAAGACTACCTTGTACCAACTCTAAACGGAAACCACAATTAAACAATTATTGGAAAATCGGGAAAAAAATGTATTTGTATTTGGGAGGCATCACTGCCATTTAACTGTGACTAACTATCCAACTTGCCTCATTCAGGGATGGTAATGAGGTTACCTTATATGGTAGTGTTACCATGACAACATAACTTTATATGGTAGCTTTTCCTGAGATTTTAAAATTTACCTTTAAGTGTATCTCAGACTAATATCAGTAGTTCATGAACAAACTATACCGTCGCAGCGGAGGAAACATTTAAAAACTGTCGTCCTGCAAAGTAATGAGGTTTGATTAACTCAAACATATCCTAAACAAGTTCAAAATTCGGTAACCCAAAAGTTGAAATATATAATAACAATCATATGAATTTAAAACTTAGATTTCGAAAATGCTGAAGAAGGATGCTAAATGGATTCAATGTTTGATAGCAAAAATATCAACATAACCTTAAATATGGTAATGTTACCATGAAAACGTTACCTTATATGGTAGTGTTACCATGAAAACGTTACCTTATATGGTTAACTGTTTCAGACCCAGAAGGTAGCTACTGTATGGTGATTCCACCTCCCAACGTAACTGGAGTTCTTCACATTGGACACGCTCTCACCAACTCTATAGAGGACGCCCTCGTCAGGTATACACACACCATAGTTACCGTAGCTGAACTATGCTTCGTCACGTGACGAGTATCTAGCTCGTTCTGACATTTTAACACTATATTTTATTTTCATGTTTAGTAATCTATCAGTTCGGTAACAAGAAAATGAAATAAGACCTACAAATAGTACAAGTATACCAAATTATTATGATATAACCGAGTAATGACAGTAAATCTCGCACACCATAGTTACCATAACAACCTCACGGCTCACACACCTTGTCCCAGGTATAACAGGATGTTGGGGAAGACTACTCTGTGGGTACCTGGATGTGATCACGCTGGTATTGCTACTCAGGTCTGTTCTCGTATCTTACTCAGCTTACTCCTGATAAGCTCCGGATCTCTCGCTTATATCCGTCCACAAACCTATGTCTTTATAATAGTAAAAACATTGTATATATCACGTGACTGTATCACACTAGTATCACGTGACCATGACAACCTCAACAGGTGGTGGTAGAGAAGCAGCTGAGGAAGACGCGTGACCTGAGCAGGCACGATATAGGAAGAGAGGCGTTCATAGGGGAGGCTATGAAGTGGAAAGTAGAAAAGGAGGCCTACATTTACAAGCAGCTCCGTATGTAATATCTTTAGAACTTCAGATTGGAACTTATTACCTATAATTACCATGACAACACTATAGTTACCACGACAGATTGGAACTTATTACCTCTGGTATTTATTCGTGGTGTAGAAGGTTCACAATATAACCCAAAATTAGGTTTCGGCTTGTTGAATGTCTCTAATGAAAATAAAATTCGGTATAGTTAAACGGTTACGCGATTTTTATGATTGATCTGCTTTTTGAAATCGTCCAAAAACGGTAAAAGCTCAAAATATTTCCTTGTGTTTGACTTGCCTCATTGCAGGAGCGATGGGAGGAACTTACGACTGGGACAGAGCCTCGTTCACAATGGACCCTAAGATGTGTAAAGCTGTTACTGAGGCCTTTATTAGGATGCACGACAAGGGTCTTATCTTCAGGTTTAGTTACTTACTGCTAGGTTGCCTGATTAATGATCACATTTATCATTAATCAGTCATATAGAGGTTAGACGTTATTAAATATTTTGTGCTCATTTTTTACATTAATTTTGTATCTATAATAATATACATTTGAAGTAAACATTGGCCAGTAAGCAAAGCTGGTCCCCAATAAAAAAGGTTTTTTTAAAATATTTTGGCCATCCTTCATTATTCCTTGGCACTCCGGATAATTGAAGATATCATCTAACATTTTGAAAATTATTTGATGGTTTGTTTTGGGATACATTTAACAGTAAAACGTATAGTAATCACTCAAATTTTACACATCAATGATTGGACACATTAAATATAAATACACATCGATTAAAATCTTAACAGAGTCGGATATTTTGATTTTCATTAGAATGTATCATCTATGACAGAGATGTTGTGAAATGGTCCTACTATTCATAGACATAAGCATAAGTTCCAATCAGATATCACCAAATAAAATAGCATTTAAAGTCAAGAAAATATGTTGCCTCTCAGGAAATAAATTTCTATCTATTGAGGTTTAGATGTGCATCGCATTTTGCTATTCTAAAAAAGATAGAAAACATCAAATTTAAGAAATGGATACAATTGTTTTTGAATATGTATGTAATATAAATTAATTCTATTATGACATTAATTAGTCAGTGTCAAATGGCATCTTCCATGCATATTAACAAAAGCCATGCCATGCTGTCTGGAAGCTAGTGCTAATTCTTCGCTGCTTTCTTGCTGTTTTCTCTATCAGAATGATACTGTAAACCCAGCCTTCTGTATCAGTCATTGATACCACTATTATTACGCTATCTAATGTTTCTAAGTTTCTACCTCTGCATTTGGTGAGTCGAATATATTTGTGAACCATTCCATGACTTGTGTTGCAATACTAATCTCCTCAGCATCTGTTCCCGAACTTTCACCAGCAACTGCATCAGCATCTGTTCCGGAAATCTCACCAGCAACTGCATCAGCATCTGTTCCCGAACTTTCACCAGCAACTGCATCAGCATCTGTTCCCGAACTTTCACGAGCAACTGCATCAGCATCTGTTCCCAAACTTTCACCGGCAACTGCATCAGCATCTGTTTCCGAACTTTCACCAGCAACTGCATCAGCATCTTTTCCCGAACTTTCACCAGCAACTGCATCAGCATCTGTTCTCGAACTTTCACCAGAAACTGCATCAGCATCTGCCCCCGAAGATTGTTCAAAACTGTTTACTGTCCCATCAAGATTAGATACTCCTTCTTCTGCTGCAGTCAACACATTTGAAACAACTTCAATGACTTCTTGTGGCAGATGAACCTTAGCATCTTCGTAGACTTTAGAAGCAGCGTTCACAACTTCTTGTTTTAACTGTACTTTGGCGTTATCTAGTGCTTTAGAGGCAAGGTTAGTTACTTCTTGAGGCATTTGTAGCTTGCCATCTTCGTAACATTTAGGAGCAACTTCAATGACTTCAATGACTTCTTGTGGTAAATCGTCCTTGTAATCTTCGTAGACTTTCGTAGCGGCTTTCACGGCTTCTTGTGTTAGCTTAACCTTGGAATCTTCGAAGACTTTGGTAGCAAGGTTGGTAACTTCTTGAGGCATTTGTAGCTTGCCATTTTCGTAGCATTTCGGAGCAACTTCAATGACTTCAATGACCTCTTGTGGCAAATCGCCCTTGTATTCCTCGTAGACTTTAGAAGCACCGTTCACGACTTCTTGTTTTAGTTGTACTTTGGCGTTATCTAGTACTTTAGAGGCAAGGTTAGTGACTTCTTGAGGCATTTGTAGCTTGCCATCTTCGTAGCATTTCGGAGCAACTTCAATGACTTCAATGACCTCTTGTGGCAAATCACCCTTGTATTCCTCGTACACTTTCGTAGCGGCTTTCATGGCTTCTTGTGTTAGCTTAACCTTGGAATCTTCGAAGACTTTAGCAGCAAGGTTTGTGACTTCTTGAGGCATTTGTAGTTTGCCCTCTTCGTAGCAGTTAGGAGCAACTTCAATGACTTCAATGACCTCTTGTGACAAATCGCCCTTGTATTCCGCGTAGACTTTCGTAGCGGCTTTCACGACTTCTTGTGTTAGCTTAACCTTGGAATCTTCGAAGACTTTGAATGCAAGGTTAGTGACTTCTTGAGGCATTTGTAGTTTGCCATCTTCGTAGCAGTTAGGAGCAACTTCAATGACTTCAATGACTTCTTGTGGCAAATCACCCTTGTATTCCTCGTAGACTTTAGAAGCAGCGTTCACGACTTCTTGTTTTAGTTGTACTTTGGCGTTATCTAGTACTTTAGAGGCAAGGTTAGTTACATCTTGAGGCATTTGTAGCTTGCCATTTCGTAGCATTTAGGAGCAACTTCAATGACTTCAATGACTTCTTGTGGTAAGTCGCCCTTGTATTCCTCGTAGACTTTAGAAGCAGCGTTCACAACTTCTTGTTTGAGTTGTACTTTGGCGTTATCTAGTACTTTAGAGGCAAGGTTAGTTACATCTTGAGGCATTTGTAGCTTGCCATCTTCGTAGCATTTAGGAGCAACTTCAATGACTTCAATGACTTCTTGTGGTAAGTCGCCCTTGTATTCCTCGTAGACTTTAGAAGCAGCGTTCACAACTTCTTGTTTGAGTTGTACTTTGGCGTTATCTAGTACTTTAGAGGCAAGGTTAGTTACATCTTGAGGCATTTGTAGCTTGCCATCTTCGTAGCATTTAGGAGCAACTTCAATGACTTCAATGACTTCTTGTGGTAAGTCGCCCTTGTATTCCTCGTAGACTTTAGAAGCAGCGTTCACAACTTCTTGTTTGAGTTGTACTTTGGCGTTATCTAGTACTTTAGAGGCAAGGTTAGTGACTTCTTGAGGCATTTGTAGTTTGCCATCTTCGTAGCATTTGATCGGAGCAACTTCAATGACTTCAATGACCTCTTGTGGCAAATCGCCCTTGTATTCCTCGTAGACTTTAGAAGCAGCGTTCACAACTTCTTGTTTGAGTTGTACTTTGGCGTTATCTAGTACTTTAGAGGCAAGGTTAGTTACATCTTGAGGCATTTGTAGCTTGCCATCTTCGTAGCATTTCGGAGCAAGTTCAATGACCTCAATGACCTCTTGTGGCAGATGGACCTTAGCATCTTCGTAGACGGCTTCTTGTGTTAACTTTACCTTGGAGTCTTTATAGACTTTAGGAGAATCGTTAATGATTTCTTGTGACATTTTTATTTTACCATCTTCGGAGCCTTCGGGAGCAACTTCAACATCTTGTTGTGGCACATGTACCTTGGCATCTTCGGAGGCTTTATAAGCATCGTTAATAATTTCTTGTCGCATTTGCATTTTATAATGCTCGCTGACTTCAGAAGCGGTGCCCACGACTTCTTGCTGAAGTTGTTCTTTGGCATCACCGAGTACTTTGGAAGCAGGTTCATGATCTTCCTGTGGCACTTGTTCCTTAAAATCTTCGTAAACCTTAGAAACAGGGTCAATGGCTTCTTGAAGTTGCTCCTTGGAAGTGGAGTCCACAACCTCTCGTGGCTCTTCTTTCGTGCCATCTTTGTTGATTCCAGAATTAGCGTAAATTAGATCTTGTGGCATTTCCTCCATGTCCGGGGTCTTGGTATTTCTCTTCTTACAGTTAACGCAACCCATTATCTGTACGCGTAGTAAGTCCGAAAGAAAAAAGAGTGCGAATGAGTGTTTTGGCGATTATGCGACTGTAGTCGATGCTTTTGAGCGTTTAAAAGCAGCGAACTGCATTTGAAATGTGTTCAGCAAGCTAGCTGTCGAGTGTAAACAAATGCAGCGTAGTAAGTAAGTAAGTCAAGTATTAGCGTAGGTATTCAATGATTGGTAATCAATGACGAGCAAACATACTCGCATTTCATGTGGCAGCTAGGTACACTATATAACACATTGTCCTCACGCTAATTGATCTGTTGTCGGAGTGTGCATTCCGACGGGGGGAGGGGGGAGGTGGGAGGAGGCTGAAGAGGGGGCTGGGTATTGGTTTCAAGTGTCCCAAATAGTTCTGGTAGTTTTTATATAATATTTAACTCTCGAAAGTATTGGACACTCGTCGCCAGGGACAAAAGGATTTCGCGATTATTTTGGCCGAAAATCGCGGTACCGCGAAATTTAACAGGCTATACATTAAACTATACATAAAATTTGTCGCGGAGAATGGGAAATTTCGCGATTTCGTACATGCCGCGAAATCCTTCTGTCCCTGCTCGTCGCTTGTCCAACTGATAAGAACCCCATGTAGTTAAGATTTAGCTAGTAGCCTGTAAGTCTGTTTTAACAAAGGCGGACAAAAATCAATAAAATAATATTGTTGCCATGGTAACAAAGCTTATTTTACTCTTTTCAGACAGAACAGGTTGCCATGGTAACAATGCTTATCTTACTCTTTTCAGACAGAACAGGTTGCCATGGTAACAATGCTTATCTTACTCTTTTCAGACAGAACAGGCTGGTCAACTGGAGTTGTTCTCTTAAGAGCGCTATCTCGGATATTGAAGTGGAGAAGATAGAAGTGAAGGGCAGGACTCTCAAGAAGGTTCCTGGTGAGTAGTAGTAGTGAGTAGTAGTAGTAGTAGTAGTAAGGTGAGTGACACTCTAGGAATTTATTAAAATGTACCCTGAAAGGTGCCTAGATATCTCTTCAAATAACCGACTATATCACCCCGATCGATTGATCGTGTAGAGTTCGCTATTCCTTACTATGACATCCCCTAGGTTACCTAGATCCAGTAGAGTTCGGTATCATAGAAGAGTTTCAGTATAAAGTAGTGGGTAGCAACGACACGGTTACCGTAGCAACTACCCGTCTAGAGACCATGTTAGGAGATACAGCTGTAGCTATCCACCCTGAAGATGCTCGCTACAAACACCTTCACGGCAAATCTGTGCAGCATCCCTTCAGGTTATTTAACCATCAACTGATCAACTAGGTCTCTCTAGTCACAATTATTTCACGTACTCTATTGCTACAATGGGGGGGGGGCTAAAATGATGGGGGCTAAAATGATGGGGGGTGGGGGGCTACAATGATGGGGGATAAAATGTTGGGGGAGGGGGCCGGGGGCTACAATGATGGCGTAGTTACCATGGTGATGGCGTAGTCTTGAAGAAATACGAATTAGTAATATCAGAGACATATGGTTTAGGAATTATTATTGTGAGAAAGTACCGACTATCTGGTTATACTTACCTGTTTAATGTTTATAATCCCGTTCCCATAGTTACCACCTGTTATAACCACAGGAAGTGTGAGCTACCAATAGTGTTAGACTCCTTTGTAGACATGGAGTTTGGTACAGGCTGTGTTAAGATCACTCCTGCTCACGACTTCAACGATTACGAGGTCAGTTATACTTTGCTTTTATTAATAAGTTGTGAAACTAGAAAAAAAGAATTGCATCGGTTTAATAATTTGTTTTATCTTTTGTGAACAAATTTACTTTCTGATTATTAGTTAACTTACCATTCTCTGTTAGAAAGTGTTAAAATAATGATAAACTAAAAGAATATATAGAAACTAAATCTCACCCTAACTTGCCCCTGGCTAACATCACCTGTTCTCTCCAGGTCGGAATGAGACACAAGCTTCCCTTCGTCGAATGTATCAGCGGTGACGGTCTTATCAACGACGTGAGTACACTAACTTCAACACTTCACCATGTGTTTTATAGGCGTGATTTATTAAGTGTGCTTAACGTGATATTACAAGTGGATCACAGTATGAACATGCACTGCACAAGTACAGCCCTGTGACCGTGCAGTACACGTCATACTGTGATATTGAGTGTTACCAAGAAAACCATAGCATATTATAGGGATAGCAAGTTTGAATATTTATTCTAGGATTACTGCGACTTGTAAATGTAAGGTTCTTTTAAAACACTTACTGAAGAATTTCAAATGAACAGCGGAAATCTTTTCTATCATTCCTTGTTTGACGAGACACTTGAAGGTTGTATCTTGTTTGCTTTGATCACCAGCAACAGTTAACACTGTTGTTTGGGAACCTTCTCCAAAGTTGCCTTGGGAACCGTCTGCAAAGTTGCCTTGGGAACTGTCCGCAAAGTTACCCTCACTAAGAATGTACCCATCCTCACCAGAGACTATATAACTGCTATCAGACTTCTGCCATTTTACTTCTGTCAGCTGTTTGGTTAAACCTGTTACTATACAAGAAATAGTTGCGTCTGTACCAGCGAGCTGTTCTTTGTTAACTGCCGTTATCTCTAAAATGAAATATAAATATAAAGTACTAGTGTATTATTAGTACTAACTACTAGTGTATTATTAGTATAGAAAGTATTATCCTTTTTTGGCTCTCCTGGTTTAGAAGTCACAGTTTTACTTTTATTGAACTGTTTGCCTTGGTCTTACTCGATGTAAAAGGAAAATATATCCATGAACATATTATAGTGACTCCGTAGTGACCAAACTATGCTCATTGCTCCTACGAGTGAAGATCAGGCAAACCCCCTATACTACGACTCGGTCAAAACACATGCTTCTTTTATTCTATAAGTTAATAATCAATAACTACTACTAATAATAATTACCGTGTATTGGATATGGTCTGTAGAAATCGCTGGCTGTATCAGTGGTGGCTACCTCGAACGCAGTCACACCAAGGCTCCAAGCTGTAGCACATTCGCTTCTACTCGATCCTGAGAACTCGTATGCGTATATTTCAATTCCATCGCAGTGCAGTGTTAGCTTAGTTAGGGATTTGAAGATGGTCCAGACATGTATGTCCCCAGGAGGCATGGTGAAGGCGGGGTCACTAGAAGTGCAATAGCCTATATCATATGTGGGAGGGTCGCTGAAAGTAACGTCTAACCCGACGGAAGAGCGAGAGTCATCCTGAAACCGTATCCACATCAACTCCCCGCTTCCTGCTGCTGAATCTGTTCTGATATGTAGAGGAGTGCTCTCCATGTCGTAGTCTATCCAAGAACCTCTGCTTGGAGCTGACATCCAATCTGAGTTAATAAAGCTTACGTATTTAACTCTAACAAAGTTGTTCTACTTTCAGACGATATAATTTGGATGGTTACATATTATATGAGTGTGAATTTGTTTCTTTTACCTGACCAGAGTAACACTACTGGACTATATTAAGTGTTACCATGGCAAGTACGATATTAAGTGTTACCATGGTGACTGCACATGTTAAACACTAACGAACGTTACCAAATTTCACAGGTTCTATTCATTAACTAGTTGCTTCATTTAAAACCTTCCTTGCGGAAAAAATTGATATGAACAGCACCTGGGAAACAGAGTGTTTGAGTTTCACTATTGTCCAGGTAAACATAGGGAGTCCTGGTAAAAGTAGCTTTCTCAATTCCATCAACTTGCATCCTCAACTGAAAGGAAGACCAAATTATTAGAAACCCTTTCATTTAATCAGTGTTGTTTATTTTATTTTTCTTTACTCTTCGCTCAATTTAATTTCTGAAATTTGAACAAAATTCCCGATAAATTAAAGGCTTTCGAGGAAACACCCGGCATTTAAGAGCTTTTCACTTTTTCAATGACTTTCGCCAAGCATCAAGTGTTTTAATAAATGTTTTTACCTGATTAAAGTAAATACCATCGTCACCACCAGTTCTCCACACGACACACCTGTATTCTCCTATATTAACTGCACTGTTGACTGTACACATCACTTCCTGTCCGCTTCCACTAAAGTCAGCATCACATCGCCCCTCCGCTGTCTCACCAACAGTTCCCAGGATTGTAACACGTTGTTCATCTTCAGTGTTACTATCCGTAAAGTCTTCCATCCTGACTGTTATCTTGTACTCAACTGAAATTTGGATGATAAGTGTTCGCTTGCTCTGTGGGGTCTGCAATCACGTTGATCATGATGTTAGATTCACTCTCAGCTAAATAATCTAAAGAAGACTTTATAATTAATTAGAAAATGTTCTAGTGCTGCTCCTAATATTGTAGAGAATTGTTACTATGGTTACTATGGTGTTACTATGGTAGTGTTACTATGGTAGTGTTACTATGGTAGTGTTACTAATACTATGGTAACCTGCTGAAGAAGCTGGTAGTTGTACCAGCATTAGTAATGCCAACACACAAATCATCCTCTTCTCGTTTCACACTAGTCGTCTAACATAATTTCTACTGACAAATGTATTATTCTTGATTATCAAAGCAATGAAAATGGCATTAAAGCCAATAAGTCACTTCAAGATACAGATCCCTGAAAGCAGAAGCGCCCACGACGACACTCCTGCCCTAAGAGGAGAAATACGTTTCGTACCGGGGGTTAAATACGTACGATACAAGCAGTCGGATAGTACGTACGATACAAGCTGTATTTTATTCTTGAAAAATACCAAATTTTCAAAATGTCATTTTTCCCCCGAAATATTTATTTTTTCAATAAAACGTAAATGAGTGATTAAATTAACGCTCAGATACTATACTATTTACGCTCAATACACGATTAACGTTCACGAATTAAAGGCCCCTTCCAGCCATTGCCACTGCGAATTTAACCTAAAACCTGCCCAGTTAATAGCGAAGACTGCGAAATTACCACTCCTGCCTAGTAATCTAATTTACCCTGTCCAGATCAGCAGTATATTACACTAAATCCGCAGGTTTTCTCTTAATTTTGTATGTCAAAACCTGCCTAATTAACTAGTGATCCTGCATCAACAGCGCAGGTATTTGTTATTTGGCAGGTTTTCTATTAACTTGGCAGGATTTGCTATAAAATTATCAATCCTATCCGGATGGATTACGGCAGTGATAAAGTTAAATCGGCAGGTTTTCCATTAACTTGGCAGGATTTTTTATAAAATTATCAATCCTTGCCGGATAGATTACGGTAGTGATAAAGTTAAATCGGCAGGTTTTCCATTAACTTTGCAGGATTTGTTATAAAATTATCAATCCATGCCAAATAGATTATAATGCTATAATCTTATTATGGCAGCGTTAAATTTATAAATTGGCAGGTTTCTTTTATCTTTCTTTTAAGTTCTTAAGTTATTTGGAATTTTGCTTATTTGGCACCAAAACTAAAAGTCAATAAAACCGAGTTGATTAGCGCAGTCAAGAAATTGGCCGGAGTTGATAAAAAGCTGACAACCATGGCACTGAATCTCCAAATGAGAGGTATAGTACGCTATATACTTATATAGTACGGTACCGCAACAATTGACCCCCTCCCCCCCCTCCGACAAATGACCCCCTGATGCAATCTACCCCCGACAATTGACCCCCCATGTAATTACACTGGTGTCAATTCAGGGTTAGGGTAAGGGTTAGGGTCAGGGTTAGGGTCAGGGTTAGGGTCGGGGTTAGGGTCAGGGTTAGGGTCAGGGTTAGGGTCAGGGTTAGGGTCAGGGTCAGGGTTAGGGTCAGGGTCAGGGTTAGGGTTAGGGTTAGGGTTAGGGTTAGGGTTAGGGTTAGGGTCAGGGTCTGGGTCTGGGTCAGGGTTAGGGTCAGGGTTAGGGTTACTGGGTAACACGACTCCTGTCAGCGACATCTGTCCGACAGCGACATCTGTCCGACTCAGGGTACCAGAAAAAACGACATTTGTCCGAAATTGTGATCTGATTTCAATACAACACATTTCCAATTAGAGACGTGATCTGAACTGTTAATTTGAATACGTAACATTGCCAATTTGAGATATGATCTGAGCCATAGTGTACTACTAGTTTATTTTCGACCTAGGAGGCAGGCATGAAGCAACTGCGTTGTGAATGGCGAGCTCGTAGTCCATGAGAATGTATTGTGGTTGGTAGCCCCATGAAGGCCTCAGAAGCCCAGGTGTCTATCTCCTCGAACATGTTGCGGTAGAGGGTCGTCGATTTTCCAGGAATGAGTCCTTAGAAGAGGGGGAGGTGCCAGCCGTCAGGGATGAGTCCGTGGACTGTGAAGAGCTGATGGAAGAGATTAGGTGCGGATTTGAAGGTACCGTTGGGCGTTGACTACGCAATGCTCCGCGTCCACCATATGATCTGCGTTCCTAGGAGTCCCCCAAAGGAATGATCGACGAGTCTGTTCGTCCCATCCAGAGTCCCAGAGCATCATTGGACTGTTGTCGGTAGAGAGGATGTAGTTTGCAGGAATGGATAGCGTTTCCAGATCTCTCGGGTCTGTTTGCTGCAGATCTGGGTCTGTTTACTGAAGATTGGTTGCCATTGTGGATTGCGATAACTGATCTCCATACGGCTGCTATCCTATATGTACTCATGTAGGCTGTGTCCTGTGATGTGATCGACAGCTTCCTGTCCTTAAATAGTCAATCACGTATCGATGGATCAGATCTCAATGGATCAAATCAGCATTCGAACAATGGGAGCAACGTCACGAAATTACCCGTGAGTTTGTGAAATACGAATGTGAACCGAAATTACAATATGATCCGAAATTCGGACAGATGTCGCCAAAAACGACTCCTGTCCGACAGCGAAATCTGTCCGAAATCCCCAATTCGGCTGTCGGACAGATGTCGCTGTCGGACAGATGTCGCCCAATCGGGTTACTGTTAGGGTTAGTATATTAAATATATTTGTTTGGTCAATTGTCGGGGGGGGGGGGGGGGGGGGTCAATTTTCAAGTATTATATCACTTGCACCGTTTAGCTCCACGTGGTTTCTTAAGCTTAAATACTTAACTGTCCTGTCAAGATAAAGTAAATCACTATCACCTCTCATTCTTAATAAGTTAGTAAGCAAGCATCTGATCATTTTAAAACAGTCACCTCCCAATTTAGCAAGTTCTTACATCTATATTACAGTCTACACCCTTCAATAATGAGATAATATGTTTGGCCGGTAGAGGGTCCGCAGTAGTCCCATTACAGCATTACCTCATTACCTTAGCATTGCTGTACAGTGTACAACTACTATAAGAGTATAAGATATACATCCTTCACCAAAACTGGTTTGTCCGCTTTCTATTACTAATTTTCCGCTGAAAGTGCCACATCAGTGATCAATTAATATTGGTAAATAGCAATAATTTGAGTTATAGGTTGACCTCCCACTTAGAGCATATGTGGGAGGTCAACCTATAAATTATAGTACGAGCTATTTCCAATTCGTGAATACGAATTTCGATTAAGGTCCAACTTATTAAGTGTCACTTTAACGTGTGACAAATTTCCGATCAAATATCTCATAATCTGAAAATAACTGCATATTTAGAACTATTATATTTATAAGTTCTAGTTTGTTGGTCAACTGCTATGATCCGAAATCAAGAAAATAGGCTAATATAAGGAATAAGAAATTTAGTGCCAAAATTTTGGACTCCCAAGTGGTGTCAAAAACGCGAATCAAATAGGTAATGATTATTTTAGTCTCTTGAGTCTTGACACCATTTTAGGGTATAACATTAAGCGTGCCGGTGTTTTGTGTTAACCCTTTAAGTTTATGTGCAGCATCCGGCATCAATTGAATCATTTTTACGCTGTTCAGTCATCAGCGATCAAGATATGAGAGCGTTCAAAAGAAAACCTTGACCCTATATATAATAACCCTTAAATACTAATAGTGTACTGATCTACGAAAAAAGGACCGAGGTGAACTTTGTATGTCACGTGTACCCATCGCCTTGCACCCACCCGATGCCTCTTACGAGCTTCTCAGACAGGGAAAAAGGATTTCACGAGATTTTGGCCAAAAATCGTGATACCGCGAATTACATTTCGCGGTATATTAAACTATACATAAAATTTGTCGCAAATAATGGGAAAAATCGCGATTCCGTACATGCTGCGATTTCCTTTTGTCCCTGTTCTCAGATAAGCTGAAAACTAATGCACGATTAAGCTCATGAGTTGGGGCAGCCCATTGGTTTGTGAGAGAATCAGGTCTCACCTGTAGCACTGTAGGTTTGAATATTCATTGTTACTAGAAAATCTGGGCCAGCCAAGTGGTCTGTGAGAGAATCAGGTCTCATTTCCTAATTATTGTACAGCAGATATATATGAATATATGAATATTAATTGTTTCCAGCAAACCAGGCCGGAGAGCTTTGCAGTACATGGCAAACGCCATGCAATAAAAGAATAAAGGTGAGGGATCGTGAATGCTGCACCTTCACTGTCTCGTCTACGAAAAGATGATGAGTCTAGCAAATAGTGAGTGCACTGTTAGAAAATAGCGCAAGTAAAGGAGCGCACAAGAGATTCTATGTGAGTTTTATTTTTAATCGTTTCCTATATACCTGCGTCATTCTATTCACTACATTCGGCCCATTATGTGATCAGGAGTGAGCTGTCGAGAATCTTTATCGCCTCTTCCAGATATCCTCCAGTCAGCGTCTATCCTATACCCGTGAGCTATTACGATTTCTCGTGGAAGAGGCTGACATTTGCCGAGTGCAGTAATGAAGACCGATTAGGCCCGCCTGGACAAAGGGACACACAGTGCTGTTTTACTTGGCGGTGCTCAGAATCTCTATTCTAACATAATAGCCTCGGGTCCCCATGTAAAGTGCTGTTAGGAAATAGTGAACTGAGATGTTTTACACAGATTCACAGAATACGGTTTTTGCGAAGACGGTAAATTCTCTATATAAGGCCCCTTCCAGCCATTGCCACTGCGAATTTAACCTAAAACCTGCCCAGTTAATAGCGAAGACTGCGAAATTACCACTCCTGCCTAGTAATCTAGATCTCTCGGGTCTGTTTGCTGCAGATCTGGGTCTGTTTACTGAAGATTGGTTGCCATTGTGGATTGCGATAACTGATCTCCATACGGCTGCTATCCTATATGTACTCATGTAGGCTGTGTCCTGTGATGTGATCGACAGCTTCCTGTCCTTAAATAGTCAATCACGTATCGTTGGATCAGATCTCAATGGATCAAATCAGCATTCGAACAATGGGAGCAACGTCACGAAATTACCCGTGAGTTTGTGAAATACGAATGTGAACCGAAATTACAATATGATCCGAAATTCGGACAGATGTCGCCAAAAACGACTCCTGTCCGACAGCGAAATCTGTCCGAAATCCCCAATTCGGCTGTCGGACAGATGTCGCTGTCGGACAGATGTCGCCCAATCGGGTTACTGTTAGGGTTAGTATATTAAATATATTTGTTTGGTCAATTGTCGGGGGGGGGGGGGGGGGGGTCAATTTTCAAGTATTATATCACTTGCACCGTTTAGCTCCACGTGGTTTCTTAAGCTTAAATACTTAACTGTCCTGTCAAGATAAAGTAAATCACTATCACCTCTCATTCTTAATAAGTTAGTAAGCAAGCATCTGATCATTTTAAAACAGTCACCTCCCAATTTAGCAAGTTCTTTTAATACTTTCAACACTACTATATAACAAATAATTTGAGATTATGTGACTGATTAAATGCTGAAGATAAAAGAAATATATTCATTTTGCTAAGATTATGTTTGCGTTTCATTGCTCAACAGCTGTTCGAAGGATCAAATATAAGATTCTTACATCTATATTACAGTCTACACCCTTCAATAATGAGATAATATGTTTGGCCGGTAGAGGGTCCGCAGTAGTCCCATTACAGCATTACCTCATTACCTTAGCATTGCTGTACAGTGTACAACTACTATAAGAGTATAAGATATACATCCTTCACCAAAACTGGTTTGTCCGCTTTCTATTACTAATTTTCCGCTGAAAGTGCCACATCAGTGATCAATTAATATTGGTAAATAGCAATAATTTGAGTTATAGGTTGACCTCCCACTTAGAGCATATGTGGGAGGTCAACCTATAAATTATAGTACGAGCTATTTCCAATTCGTGAATACGAATTTCGATTAAGGTCCAACTTATTAAGTGTCACTTTAACGTGTGACAAATTTCCGATCAAATATCTCATAATCTGAAAATAACTGCATATTTAGAACTATTATATTAATTGTAATTGAAGATTCTTTCAGAATCACTTCATTCACTAAATCTTACAATGTGAACAATGAACAGGTAGAGGCACTGCAACTGAAAAAGTGCTGTCCTCACTACTTAAGAACATAGCAATCTAATCTAAAAATGGCAACCTAAGAACTGAAGTTAAGCAAACAGTTATTTTCCAATAATGTACTTTTATACTCAAACTTATCATAGACCCCGTGTTGGAAACAGTGGATAATATGCAGTGGCGAAACGTACCTAAGAGGCCGCAGCTGCACCCCCCATCCCCTTCCGCATAGCAGGGGTTGCCGGAGTGTCGGGCGGTCGTTTCGCCACTGACTAGTGACTGCATGTATAAAAGTATAAACTATAGAGCCATGTAGGCATGTAGCATTCTGTACTTCTGTAGCTTTGCACAAACCAAGTCTCAGTCCTACACCCTACCTAGTAATACTAATAAGGTTATACGATCATTACAGTATTCCACATTGTACACTCAAATTATCCAAAACCCCTGCCAATATAGGTTTAATCACGACACAAGTTGATTCAAATTATCTCAACTTACGCAGGATTTGCGTTAAATCTGCAGCATTCGACTTTATATTTAACGGAAAACCTGCCAAAATAGAGCAAACCTGCCGAGAGTAGGTGAAAGGTGAGGCATGTTTTGTGTTAATTTTGAAGGCTTTTCTATATAGTAAGGGGAAAAGTGGTCGATTTAAGGGTTCCGTTGGATTTGAATGTTCACAAGGATTTCTCAACGGAATATGGTAGTTAGGACCCCTACGAACATAATTAGACTTGTTGCCAATTTTGTATCTCAACAGAAACACCACTTTTACCACTTTTTACCACCTTTGTACCACTTTTCTGGTTTGCCAAATATCTTTAGTTGTGAACGTCGTAGAAGGCTGAAAATTAACCTAGAATGTTTATCTTATCAAGGAGTAAAACTTTTGTACCAAAAATTTTTACATTGGACAATCAGCTAATATAATTGGATAATTACCAATTAGTTAATCACCAAAAAAAGTGAAAATTTTTTATTGGCTCAAAATGATTGAAATCGTTTGAAACACGGAGAAATGTAGTTTTTAGAAAAACTTCAAAAATTGTTCACTTAAAATTTTTTTTCGAGACTTCAAAAAAAAAGTTTGAAAATTTGAAAATATTTTTTTCCGCCAAAAGTGATCGAATTGCATGAAACGTGGATAAAAATGCCTTGCAGAAAAATTTCGAAGATTTTTAGATTGAGGAATACTAAAATCATCAATATTTGAAGTTGGAGTTCAGTAAATCTCGACATATTTTAGTAATTAGGAATAGCTTAGCGGAAAGGGCTGGACCTGAAAAAGGTTAACCACACAATATTAGAGTTTCGTAACTAATTACAATACAGCTTTATCAAATTCCACATAAAGAAACAGCACAAAAGGACCATTTAAGATCGAACCGATTTTACCTGCTGTACTATCATTTTATTGATTTCAATGATCAAAACCTCTGTCAATCTTGCCAATCTATACCGGGTATCTGAATGTACCGGACCTCTTATTTACCTCTATAATTAGACCCAGTTGTGCAAGAAATGCGATTTCTCACAGGGGTTTCTTTAAACTGTGCACTTTTTATCACTCTCGCAACTCGCAAGAGGCCTGGTATTATAGGAAGCGAGTGTAAATATACCTTCCATCATCCATTGTGGCTTTTTTGTATTGTGAATGCGCATGCCGCTTCGTTTGCTATGCCATATACCTCGAATAACCCCCATATGTCATTGCCAGGGTCGGGATAGAGCTGGAGATAGCATTGAAAAGTTGCTAGAAATAGCTAGATTTAGAGTAAACTGGTGGTAGCTGGGTGGTGCTAGCATGGATGTAGCAGAACGTAGCTACACGGGGTTTCATTGGAGTTGGTTATTTTAATGGCCAAAGAGTGCCGGAACTAAAGTTACTTAAGATTGCAGTTTAGGGGCAGTGTAAACCACGGTGTAGTCAGGGACACAGAGCTACAGTGCAGGAGTACTGCAATAGAACAGTGCAAGTGATACAGTCTGCAACAGTAAAACGCCGACGAAGCTAGACTTAGAGTGAACTGATGGAAGCTGGGTGGTGCTAAAATGGAGGTAGCAGAACGTACTACATGATGAAAACAGGAAAACTAAGGCTGGTTGAGACCTGAAAAGATGTGAATCTGTCCTGATAGATCCAGCGAAGAGCGAGTAGCGAAGAGTTTGATCACTAACCTAAAGCTCTAAAGAAGAAGATGGCTAAAGAGACTCACTTTGATCAATAAATCCGGTACGGCAAGGTCTGTAGCCTTGATAAGAAGATACCATGAAGTAATTCATGCAGAAAAGTCGATTTATATAAAGGGTTTCGTTGGATCTAAAAAGGGTGGGTCAGTCTCTCTGTTTTCATAAGATTCTGATGAAATGCTGTTAAGCTCAGGACGGTGATCTTAATAGGTCGGATAGCTGTATCTGGTTGCTTCCAGCCCACCCTTGTCGCTTGAAAATAAGTTCTCACCCCACCTCTTCCAAAAATACAGTTACCAGAGCAGGAAACTCTTCTTCCTCCTCTTCTTTCAACACAAACACAATCAGGTTCCAGCTACTCTCCTCCTCTGCAGCCACAATCTTATCTCCTTCTTCGGAGTTTTACTGTTGCAGACTGTATCACTTGCACTGTTCTTTTGCAGTACTCCTGCACTGTAGCTCTGTGTCCCTGACTACACCGTGGTTTACACTGCCCCTAAACTGCAATCTTAACCCATTAGGGACGACGAGTTTTAAAGTTTGCCGATTTTGATGCCGTTTAACACACTAGGTCACTTTACAGCAAAAATGAGATATCCAAAAAAGCTAATCTGTATCTCGTTTACTTTAAAAGATACAGCTATGGTCGCATACGACCCACTCGTCCGGGTCGCAAACGACCCATCACGGTTTTTCGGCTTTAACTTCTGAAACAAAGACGTTAGGATAAAATAAAATAAAAAGCATAAGTTAAAAACATATGGTCAATACTGTGTGACTCTAACCTTTTAAAAATAAAGAATTTGGGTCATTAACGACCCACTCGGCTCACTTGCTTATTACTACATATGTCCATGTAACTTCTTGAATTCAGCCTAAAGCATGACATCATAAGTTCAAAATCGCCTCTCAGCAAGTGATAATCATCATAAACTGCGAAAAATCGGTTAAATGGGTCATTAGCGACCCACTAAGACCACAAAATTGATTAATTAAATATAATGTTGTCAAACTTTTACAAATATTAGTATAAAAACATGTTATATCTTGGTCATTACTCCTGTACGTTGATTTAAATTTTAAAATCGATCAACTGGGTCAATAACGACCCACTCGGAAGTTGAACCACGACATTAATTATCAGTATCATGTTGTTCTACCATCAAGAAAGACACTCGTAGGTCTTAATTCCACACAAACCACGGGTGGCTGACTACTAGCCCTTCTGAGATCTGGAGTCTCACGGTAATCTGCAGATCACGTCACCCAATGACTGACGAATAATGGGCAGAATTGGATTGATAGGTAGGTGAGTTTATCAGCTGTTAGTACACGACCGTAATGTCGTGAGACAGCAAACAACATGCCTATCTTTTCCCGATTCCTAGAACGTCCAAGAAGAACTATACAACTGCTGGATTCAGATTTCAGATGGCTGCATCTACTCTCTTCGCAGCTCCCTTTCTTTACTTCTTAGGGGCCGTTCATATATTACGTAATCACTTATTGGACAATTTTTACGCCCCCCCCCCCCACCACATAGCTATTATGTCAAAATTACACAAGTTTTTTAAATTTTGGGAAAATCCCCCCCCCCCCGGGGCCCTTTCGTTTAAAGCTTGTTTTTGGTTTTTTAAAACGCCTCGTTGTTTGGGGGGGTTTGTTACCCAAAACGGGTAGTTGTCTGAGGGGATTGGGAGGTTGCAAACACCGCCAGCCAAAAGGGGGGGGGGGGGGGGGGGGGGGGGGGGGGGGGGGGGGGGGGGGGGGGGGGGGGGGGGGTTTTTTCTTTTTTTGTCCTTCTTCACGAGCTTAAATGTACCTTTTGGGAAAGGGGGCAGTTTTTTAGGGGTTTTTCTCGACTTTCTAGGAATGAAAAAAAAAAATTGGATGTTGGATTAAAAGGAAAAATGCAATTTAAACCCCCGGGGTTTTTCCCCGTATTTAACCCAAGGGTTTCCCCTGAATCCGTTTTACCCTTTGGTTTAGGGGATTTTTTTTTGGTGGGAAGATTGATCACCGTGGGGGCCCTGGGTCTCAAGCTGGGTTGTAGCAGGTGTTTTACCCCAAGATTCGAAATTGACGAAATTAACAGAATCTAATAAGCAACAACAACAGCATGGCTATTACCTAGCAAGTTAGGAACGAGGGCCGATTCCTTTTCTTTTGCGGCCACGGCCACGGTCCCTTTTCGGTAC